CACCTGGAATACTGTGTGCAGTTCTGGTCTCCCATGTTTAAGAAGGATGAATTCAAACTGGAACAGGTACAGAGAAGGGCTACTGGGATGATCCGAGGAATGGAAAACTTGTCTTATGAAAGGAGACTCAGGGAGCTTGGCTTGTTTAGCCTAACTAAAAGAAGGTTGAGGGGAGATATGATTGCTCTCTATAAATATATCAGAGGGGTAAATATCAGAGAGGGAGAGGAATTATTTAAACTCAGTACCAATGTGGACACAAGAACAAATGGATATAAACTGGCCACTAGGAAATTTAGATTAGAAATTAGACGAAGGTTTCTAACCATCAGAGGAGTGAAGTTTTGGAATAGCCTTCCGAGGGAAGTAGTGGGGGCAAAAGATCTATCTTGCTTTAAGATTAAACTCGATAAGTTTATGGAGGAGATGGTATGATGGGATAACATGGTTTTGGTAATTAAATGTTCATGGTAAATAGGCCCAATGGCCTGTGATGGGTTTTTAGATGGGGTAAGATCCAAGTTACCCGGGAAAGAATTTTCTGTAGTATCTGGCTGATGAATCTTGCCCATATGCTCAGGGTTTAGCTGATCGCCATATTTGGGGTCGGGAAGGAATTTTCCTCCAGGGTAGATTGGAAGGCCCTGGAGGTTTTTCGCCTTCCTCTGTAGCATGGGGCACGGGTCACTTGCTGGAGGATTCTCTGCTCCTTGAGGTCTTCAAACTACAATTTGAGGACTTCAATAGCACAGATATAGGTGTGAGGTCTTTTTTAGGAGTGGTGGGTGAAATTCTGTGGCCTGCATTGTGCAGGAGGTCAGACTAGATGATCATAATGGTCCCTTCTGGCCTAAATATCTATGAATCTATGAATCATCTCCCACGGCTAAGTGCAACGAAAGACACTACTCTGTGCCGCATTTGTATACCCATCCCCCACCGATTCTCTCATTGTTGATGCTGTCAACCAATGTTAACGCTAGGGCTTCCAGGGACCCTCCCCAAAGAATTGGGAGGCAAAAAGGACTCAACCTTTATGGGAGAAAGGTCTATTCCACGGGCAGATTGTCCCCCCCCCCCCCCCCCCCCCCCCCCCCCCCAAAAACAACAAACCCCCCCCCCACCCCCCAACCCACCCCCCCCCCAAGAACCCCCCCCCCCCCCCCCCCCCCCCCCCCCCCCCCCCCCCCCCCCCCCCCCCCCCACAAACACCCCCCCCCCCCCCCCCCCCCCCCCCCCCCCCCCCCCCCCCCCCCCCCCCCACACCCCAACCCCCCCCAAACAATACCCCCCACCCCCCCCCCCACCCCGACCTACCCCACCCCCCCCCCCCCCCCACCCCCCCAACCCCCCGGACAACCCCGGAGGGGGAAAAGGAGGGGGGAAAAAGGAAAACCCCCCCCCCCGGGCCAAACTCTCCCCTTCCCAACCCCTCCCCCACCCCAAAAGGTTTGAAGGTGCAGTCTAGGCTACGCGGCACACCAAAACAAAAACTGGATTTACCCCGCCTTACCTTTTCATTACGACTGTCCCCTTTCTACTGTCCTTTTTATCTTAATTGTGGGGGCCCACACAAAAGGGGGGAACCCCCCACATTTCTGACCCCTCCCTCTTTCCCCCCCCCCCCCCCCCCCCCCACAGGGACCCCCCACAAAAAAAACTCCATAAAAAGGGGGGCCCCCCCCCCCTTCAAGGAGGGGGGGAGGAGGCCCCCCAAAAGAAGAGGAGGGATTTTTTTTCTGTTTTTCCTCCCAAAAGCCAAAGGTGGGCTCAGGCCCATCCAAGACCTGGGAGAACTCAACAAGTTCTTGAAGAAGATCAAATTCCACATGGTCTCTTCGGTTATCCCTTCATTGCATCCAGGAGACTGGTATGCTGCCCTCGTACTTTCACAAAGCAATAACTCTGTCCCACAGAAAATACCTTAGGTTTGTGGTGAACAACACCCACTACCAGTTCACAGTCCTCCCACTCAGCCTGTCAGCAGCATCTCAAGTATTCACCAAGTGCATGGCAGTCGTGGCTGCATTCCTGCGCAGGTGACAGGTACAGGATGATCAAGGGCCAATCCAGGACTCAAGTAGACCTGCAAGTTGCCTTCATAAGAGCTTCTTTCGATGAACTGGGCCTGCTACTGAACGAGGGGAAATCAATGGTGTCCCCGGTTCAGAGGATAGAATTTGTAGGGGTGGTACTGGACTCAACACATGCCAGGGCATTCCTTCCCGAAGCGAGATTTCGAGCCCTGGATGACACTATTCGAGGTCTCAAACAGTTCCCTACCACCACAGCATGGAACTGCCTGAAACTTCTAGGACACATGGCAACTTGTATCTACATAGTACAGCATGCCAGACTCAGACTTTGACCTCTTCAATCATGGCTGGCGTCAATTATCAGACCAGCCCAGGACAGTTTGGACAGGATTGTAACCCTGTCTCGCCAGGTACTCAGCTCCCTCCTGTGGTGGCCCAACCCCCAGATAGTATGTGCAAGAGTCCCTTTCACCAACCCTCAGCCATCCCTCTCGCTAGTGACAGATGTGTCAGACTTGGGCTGCGGGGGCACATTTGGGAGACCTCAGAACACAAGGCCTCTGGTCTCAGTCAGATCTCGCTCTCCACGTCCATGTCAGAGAGCTGAGAGCGGTCCGCCTGGCATGCCAGACTTTCTGAGCACACCTAGCAGGGAGATGTGTATGACAGACAACACCACGGTGATGTTTTATATCAACAAACGGGGGGGGTGGACCCTCCTCTCCCCTGTGCCAGGAAGCCCTCATGCTGTGGGACTTCTGTGTAGAGCACTTGATACACCTGCAAGCATCGTACCTCCCTGGAGTATGGACCGAGCTGGTGGACCATCTCAGCAGGTCGTTCCACAGCCACAAGTGGTCCCTTCACCCAGACATCACGAACTCAGCCTTCCGTCAGTGTGGTTTTCCCCAGATAGACCTGTTCGCCACGCAACACAACAGGAAGTGTGAGCAGTTTTGCTCCTTCCTGAATCACAGCCCGGGCTCCATCGCAGACGCATTCCTCCTCCCAGGGGGAGGCCATCTCCTATACACGTTCCGGCCCGTCCAGCTCGTTCACAAGGTGCTCCTCAAGATTCAGAAGGAAGCAGCTTTGGTGAGTGATAGCTCGAGTCTGGCCCTGCCAGCGCTGGTACACATCACTCCTGGAAAAGTCCATGGAAGCTCCAGTCACCTTGACGCTCTTCCTGGACATACTAACTCAGGATCACGGCCGTCTCCAACACCTGAACCTGGAGTCGCTGCACCTCACAGCATGGAAGCTCCATGGCTGAACCCAATGGAGCTCTCCTACTCAAACTCAGTTAGGCAAGTCCTCCTGGGCAGTAGAAAGCCCTCCACCAGGGCTACCTACCTTGCAAAGTGGAAGAGATTTTCAATCTGGTCAGTGCAGCATCATTCATCTCCGTCACTTGCCTCTGTACCACTTATATTAGACTGTCTCCTCCATCTCAAGCAGCGGGGGCTGTCCATGTCAATAAGGGTTCACTTGGCCACTGTCTCTGCCTTTCATCCAGGTGCAGAGGGCCAGTCAGTCTTCGCCAGCCTTGTGGTCAGTCTTTTCCTTAAAGGGCTCGACAGGCTATACCCACATGTCTGGCAGCCAGTTCTGACTTGGGACCTCAATCTGGTCCTTTCCAGACTCATGGGACCGCCCTTTGAACCTTTGGTGACATGCTCCCTGCTCCATCTCTCATACAAGGTGGCATTTCTGGTAATGATAACTTCAGCCAGGAAGGTGTCTGAGCTCAAGGCCCTGACTTAAGAGCCCTGGTACGCAGTGTTCCATAGGGACAAGGTCCAACTCAAACCTCACCTGGCGTTTCTCCCGAAAGTTGTCTCCCAGTTTCACATCAAACAGGACATCTTCCTCCCAGTGCTCTGTCCTAAGTCGCACTCGAGCGGCAGGGACCAAAGGCTTCACTCATTGGATGTCTGCAGAGCACTAGTCTTCTACAGCGAGAGAACAAAACTGTTCTGAGTTCTGAAACTCGGAGCACTTATTCGTGGCTGTGGCAGACAGAATGAAAGGTCTTCCTGTCTCTTCTCAATGGATTCAGTTATCACGTCCTGCATCCTGAAGAGCTACAGCCTGTCAGGGGTGCCTGCTCCTTTGATCACTGCGCATTCCACCAGGGCTCAGACCTCTTCAACGGCATTCCTGGCACAGGTTCCCACCCAGGAAATCTGCAGAGTGGCCACGTGGTCCTCCATACACACTTTCACCATGCACTATGCAATCAGCAGGCCAGAGACGATGCAGCCTTCAGAGGAGCAGTGCTCCAAACAGTGGATGACTCCGAACCTGCCTCCTGAACTTGGGCTTGGGCATCACCTGATTGGAATGGACATGAACAAGTACTCGAAGAAGAAAAAACGGTCACTCACCTGCTCGTAACTGTTGTTTTTCAAGATGTGTCATTCATGTCCATTCTAATACCCACCCTCCTTCCCCTCTGTCGGAGTAGGCGGCAAGAAGGAACTGAAGGGGTGGCGGGTCGGCAGGGCTCTGTATGGAGCGCCATGAAGGTGCGACTCCAGGTGGTGCCCAGACCAGCCCAACAGATGCTGCTAGGGGAAAATCTTCCGGCTCCCGTGCACACGGCGTGTACGCACACCTGATTGGAATGGACATGAACAACACATCTCGAAGAACAACAGTTACGAGAAGGTGAGGAACGTCTTTTTTCCCCACACCAAGAGAAAGCGCCGCCCCCCCTCTCCATTTTTAATTTTTTTAATAAAAATTGAAGAGGAATTTTATTGGTTTAAAATTTAAAAAAAATTGGAGAAAAAAATATATATAATATAAAAAAATTACCCCACAACCCCCCCAAATAAACCCCCCAAATACGCGCTTAATCTTTGGAAATTCCTGACGTACAGTGCTTGATATTTCTCAACCTTACATTTTTCCATTTAATTTTGCAGGTTAACTCTTAAATCAATTTGGATTCCTTCTTACCAAGTATTGATGGATGCTATTTTCTGATTGCTTTTCTTGTCTGATTGATTCAACTGTTGTCCGCAGAATACAGGAACAATCCTTGAAATACATAGTACTGTATCAGTAAGTGAACTGCAATGGACGTACTATAATCAATAGAGTATTATGAGGGGGACACATTACCCAAAGCCATGTTCCAGTTATCGAGGATGTCATCAAAAAGAATCTCTGTGCACATCATTTTAGTGCAGTGCTCCCCAAACTTTTTTGCTTATGCTCCCCCTCTTACCTAGTTTCCCCTTCCTCCTTCTCCCCCCCACCCACCCCAGGAGCTGCGGCTGGGAGAGGGCCCAGAGCCACCATGGAGAGCTGGAGTAGGGCCCCACTTGGAGCCAGAGCTGCAGCTGGGGCTGCCGTCGGGGCCAGGAGCGGAGCTGGGGGCAGAACGAGGCTGGGTGGCACTCCCTCCCCACTCCCCAGGAGGGCTGGCCTGGGCCCCACCACAACCCACCAACGTTCCTCCATACCCCACAGTTTGGGACCACTGTGTCAGATAGTCTATTGATATAAGTAAACCAGGAACAGAGAGGGTGGAAGAGTCCCCCTGAGAACAGTAGCACTTAAGGGCCCAGTGCAATTGCCCTCATCCATCCCATTTTTCTCTTCTACTAGGACCTACCTTTCATAGTGGAGGAATACACTGTATAAAATTCCAAAGCTGTTTAAGGTTTTTCTTATTTTAATTTTAACATTAATGAGCCCCACTCTAATAAGAGTGAACACCAACAGGCTAATCAGCTCTCTGAACTATTCTGTGGAACTATTCTAGAAGAGAAACTCTCACTCTCGTGAACCCTTTGCTAGCATCTACATTAGGAGTTTGTTATTGTTTACTGCTCGAATCCCTTGAATGGAGTTTCCCCTCAGAAATTTCACCAGAAGTTTTATTTCATGATACATGATTGAACTGCAAGGTGCAACTGTCAAAAACTATGGCATAAAATAAGCCATATTAAATGCAGACTTACCAAACAAGACATGGAACTGCTTTAGTTCAGGGAAAGGTCATGCACACCCATTTATCCTAAAAATAAAATATTACAGTAATATCAATGCACAAAGGAAGTATTTCTTCACACAACATACAGTCAACTTGTGGAACTCTTTGCCAGAGGATGTTATGAAGGCCAAGACTATAACAGGGTTCAAAAAAGAACTAGATAAGTTAATGGAGGATAGGTCCATCAATGGCTATTAGAAGTGTTCCCGTCCTCATTTTGCCAGATGCTGGGAATGGGCAACAGGGAATGGATCACTTGAGGATTACCTGTTCTATTTATTCCCTCTGAAGCACCTGGCATTGGGCATGATCAGAAGACAGGATACTGGGCTAGATGGACCATTGGTCTGACCTAGTGTAGCCGTTCTTATGTCAACCCATGACCCAATATTGCAACAAAATCCAAATCTAAATGTCAGTCTCTCCTCTTAGTCATAAACTATGGGAAGTCCAACATTTTACATAAGAGGTGTCATCCAAGCATGCTCCTTTGCTACTAATTCTGTCAGTAAATACATAATGGTAAAAGCTTATAGTATGGCTGCGAGGGACTTGCCTACTCTCATCGAAGTTTCTGGACACTAGTTTTAAACAGTTTATAGTGGCACTGGTCAGACATACTCATTTGTATCATATAGGCAACCTCATCCTATAAGCAGTTCCCCCCTTCTAACTCATGTACTTGGAGTCACTCTTTGAACAGGTAGATTGGTTACCTACAAATAATCTACAAGAACAGAGGCACTGAAATAGAAGGACTAGATTCATTGATCATTGACAGTGTGTAGGGAAGAAAACCACATTGTTATTCCAATAGAAAGGAGCACAGCTGTGCTAATCAAGTTCCAGCTACAGACAGCGGAGCTTGCACTCAAGAAAAGCAAGCCAAAAGCAATTTCATATTGCATTTCTGAAGTTAACGGAGAGGATAAAACTGTTGTTAGACCTAGTTAGAAAAAAGGGGGTCCCAGGCAGGTATACAATCACTTCACTGTGCCCCCACTATTTGAGTCTAAAAGACATCATAATTTAAAAGGAAATTCGGCATTCACCACCCACTCTCATGCCCAGAAAAAAAATTAGGCTATTGGAGTTCTTTGAAAAATCTGAAAACATGAAAACACAGAAATACAATTATACCATCTCCAGCTGAAACCTGTTCAAGTTGATGAATTTGCATAGTGGGAGTACTAGAATCACTTTAGCAAATGTTATTTTTCTACCCTTCTGTTATTCTTAGCCAAGTTGCTGACCATTGGCCTACTAGAATATGTAGTTCCATTTTGATGTGTAATAATTGGGTGGAGAGAAACAGCATGTCATGGGTAGTGTAAAGATGCTCATTCTGTAGTGTGTTAGCACCCCATTAAGTAGCGAGAGCTGTTGATTATCTAGTACACTATGTTCCTCTAAACAAAAGCTCACGGTTATCATTATTGTGTTGTCCCTGATACATACTTGGCAAGAATTTGTAAACCTGTTAAAATGTTCTAAACAAATATTTTAAAAAAAAATCAGGTGGAGATTGTTGGAAAGATCATCATCTAATTTCTAGTTACCAGCTCATTTTTCCCCCAAAATTATCACTAACCACCAAACTTTGGCTCTTGGATCTGATCTAATGATAATAATTCAAGGAGAGATTTTCAAAAAGGCACCAAAAAAATAATCAAGAGTATCCTTGAAATGGATGAGGATCTTTTGGTAAACCCTCTAATTTTTCCAGAAACACTTACAGTGAGATGCCACTATTTTATTATCTACATGCTAATTATTTCTACAAATCCCTCCTGGCCAAGTTGAAATTGATCTAATAAAGAACATTTGGAATCATGCATGATGGAGCACATCACAGCTAGTTTAGACCCCATCATTTGTATGTCTAGTTGAGATTATGTTTTCCAATATGCATTACTTTGCACTTATCAACACTGAATTTCTTCTGCCATTTTGTTGCCTACTCATCCAGTTTTGTGAGATCCCTTTAACTCTTCACAGTTTTTGTTCTCCTTGGTTGTCAGGCTTGAAATAAAATTATATTACCAACATGATTGTTTTAATCATATACAGGAATAACCCTTAGCAAAGCAACCCACCATTAGTAAAAGTTTTGGAGGAACACAATGTATTATCAGCTAACTACTCAGTTTACCACGCTCTTTGTTTTTAAAGTACTTATATGACCCCATTACCATAATATCTGAGCACCTCACTATCTTTAATATCTTCATCCTCAACATCCTTGTGGATGTAGCTAAGTGCTATTATCCCATTTTATAAATGAGGAATGGAGGTAGAGAGAGACTAAGTGACTTACCCAAGGTCACACAATAAATTTGTGGCAGAGCAGGAAGTTGAATCCACATCTCCCAAGTACCAGACCAGCATACTAAGCACTGGACCATCCTTCCTCTCCTTGTTGGGAAAAATATATGCTATTCTATTCTATCAGAAATAAACTCTGTGGTTTGCAACATGAAACCACAAAAGGAGAATGAATTTGTGGAATACAGTCATTAGGACTTAATTGTTAAAGTAAGTTTATGGCAGAGGTACAATAAAGGTACAAAGTTAATATGTCTGCCTATAATCCAAGTTTGCCAAGCAGGTAAAGCTATGTAAGGAATATCTTCCTATTAATTCTTTTTGCACTTTTATAATTCTCAACATTTTCCTCTGTTTAGGAATACTTTGTGGATCATTTCACTATAGTCTATATTTCCAAATAGGAGTGGCAGAAGCTTCCTAAAAGTGTGTGTGGGGGGGCGCAGTGGCACCCAAACCGTGGCCATATGCCCAACCCCTTCTCTCCGCTCTCACACTGCCCGGTCTTCTCTGCCCCCTTCCCCTCCCTTGCTCGCCCTTACAGCTGGTAAAAAGTGGGAGAGCATAGCCCTCCCACTTTTAAAAGTGATGGGGCCCTGGCTCCCCCCATTCCAGCACCCTGTTTCCAAATCTCTCGTTTTATTTTTGTTTGCTATCTAGCCTTTGTTGTTCTAAGCTTCCTCTAAACCTGTGGATTGTACAGGAGTGGTAAGCAAATGGATTAACACACTTCTCCCAGGTTTCACACGCAGGACGGGAGTGATGAAGTGATAGGAAAGTGACATCTCCATCTAAGAGGATGCCTTTGGGAAACCCAATACCTGTAAATGCTCTGAATGTGCACAGCCTATTGTAAACAATTATTACCACCAACCGTGGGCTATAGCTCATTGATTATTTTGACATTTAGGATGATATCAACAGTCCTCGGTTATATTATTTTGAGGGGTTTTGTTTTGTTTTTTAAATAAGAACCAAACCTGTAATGTGAAGTAACAGAGCACATGTAAGAGGTCTGCTCCCATGAAGCATCTTAAAGGAGGATCATCTTCCAGTTGCCATTGTTAAACCCCATTTATCAGTTTCCTTAGCAACAGTACCATTGACAGAGGACTGTACTTAGTCATCCTTGTGATTCGCATTAATATTTCTTTTCAAAGTACACTGGGCCAAGTTTATACCCAATGAAACTCCATTGACTTGAATAAAATTACACCCCTACTGAGTTAGAGATGCACTTTCTTGCAGGGCAACCTAAACTGAAATTCAGTGGGAGGATATAATTAGAGATTATAGCATACTCCCAAATTTTAAAAGACAAGCCACTTTTATTTTTGCTACTGCATCTTAATTCCAAATTTTAAAACAGCAGTGATACTGAGCATAGGATGATTTTCTAGGCAACAGTGAGGGGGAAAACCCAAAACTTTCCTTTGGCCAAGCAAGCCAGGGGATTTCAAACTGATTGCTGCTTTGTTTCTGTTATCTTTGTCTATTTAAATTCACTGGGCAAGATATTTTGACATAAGATGATTTATGGGAAATGTAAAATTTTTTTGCTGTCTACCCCCACCCTTCCACCTGGGAATGTTTGTCTGCTGCTAGAAAGGAAAGCATCGATCTTTCTGTTTATGTCACAAACTTCAGGCTTTCCTCCAGGCAAACTCCTGAAGTTACCATGTACAGATTGAGTGTACACAAGTGCCTGCAATGCATAGTTAAGTATAATAAAAAAGACATAGGATTTAACTCAGCACTGTTTAGGGACTCCAGATGTGAACAACAAACAAATAAACATACATTTAGAATTCCATGAATTATTTACTTCGAGACTTTATTAAATTTAGCCTGGCCAAATGGTGGGACAATTTGTGAAAGACAGCAAGCACTGCCAACATGCTTACAGAAACCCCTCCAAACCCAATAAGCAGGAAGTTTTTTATAAGCATATCTGATACTCTCATTTTCTCTTGAACTCAGCTAATCAAACTGTGAATGATGTATCTGAAGTCTGGAAGAAAGACTGCCTTACCCATAAAACCCTGCATGGCAAATCTGGGTTTTAGTGTTAGTTCTATCACAGATTTCCTTTGGGATGTTAGGCAAGTCACTTGCAGCCTAATTCTCAAAGATGCTGACCTACCACCCACAACTTCTGCAACTTCAGCTAACATTGTGGGTGCTTGGCACCTCTGAAAAGTAGGCCCCTAATCTCTCTGACTATACGCTAGGAGAGGTGGCAGCACTTGTGTAACCCACACACCTTCTGGGTGTGGTGCTCTGTCCCATCTAGTGGCACCGAGACCACTTAGAGAGAGATTAATCATAGAAGATTAGGGTTGGAAGAGACCTCAGGAGGTCATCTAGTCCAACCTTCTCAAAGTAGGACTAACCCCAACTAAATCATCCCAGCCAGGGCTTTGTCAAGCCGGGCCTTAAAAACCTATAAGGATGGAAATTCCACCACCTCCCTAGGTAACCCATTCCAGTGCTTCACCACCCTCCTAGTGAAATAGTTTTTCCTAATATCCAACCTAGACCTCCCCCACTGCAACTTGAGACCATTGCTCCTTCTTCTGTCATCTGCCACCACTCCATCCTCTCTGGGACTCCCCCCTCCCCCCCAGGTAGCTGAAGATTGCTATCAAATCCCCTCTCACTCCTCTCTTCTGCAAACTAAATAAGCCCAGTTCCCTCAGCCTTTCCTCATAAGTCATGTGCCCCAGTCCCCTAATCATTTTTGTTGTCCTTCGCTGGACTCTCTCCAATTTGTCCACCTCCTTTCTGTAGTGGGGGCCCAAAACTGGACGCAGTACTCCAGATGTGGCCTCACCAGTGGCAAATAAAGGGGAATAATCATTTCCCTCAATCTGCTGGCAATGCTCCTACTAATGCAGCCCAATATGCCATTAGCCTTCTTAGCAACAAGGGCACACTTCTGATTCATATCCAGCTTCTTGTCCACTGTAATCCCCAAGTCCATTTCTGCAGAACTGCCGCTTAGCGAGTTGGTCCCCAGCCTGTAGCAGTGCATGGGATTCTTCCGTCCTAAGTACAGGACTCTGCACTTGTCCTTGCTGAATCTCATCAGATTTCTTTTGGCTCAATCCTCCAATTTGTCTAGGTCACTCTGGACCCTATCCCTAGCCTACAGCATATCTACCTCTCCTCCCAGCTTAGTGTTGTCCACAAACTTGCTGAGGGTGCAATCCATCCCATCATCCAGATCATTAATGAAGATGTTGAACAAAGCTGGCCCCAGGACAGACCCCTGGGGCACTCCGCTTGATACCGGCTGCCAACTAGACATCGAGCCATTGATCAGTACCTGTTGAGCCAAACAATCTAGACAGCATTCTGTCCACCTGATAGTCCATTCATCTAATTCATACCCTTTTTAACTTGCTGTCAAGAATACTGTGGGAGATCATATCAAAAGCTTTGCTAAAGTCAAGATATATCATGTCCACTGCTTTCCCCATATCCACAAAGCCAGTTATCTCATCATAGAAGACAATCAGGTTGGTCAGGCATGACTTGCTCTTGGTGAATCTGTGTTGACTGTTCCTGATCACCTTCCTCTCCTCTAACTGCTTCAAAATGGATTCCTTGAGAACCTGCTCCATGATTTTGCAGGGACTGAGGTGAGGCTGACCACTCTGTAGCTCCCCGGATTCTCCTTCTTCCCTTTTTTTAAAAATGAGCACTATATTTGCCTTTTTCCAGTCGTACGGGACCTCTCCCGATAGCTACGAGTTTTCAAAGATAATGGCCAATGGCTCTGCAATCACATCAGCCAACCCCCTCAGGATCCTCGGCTGCATTAGATCCAGACTGATGGACTCGTGCATGTCCTTCTTTTCTAAATAGTCCTTAACCTGTTCACCACTGAGGGCTGCTCACCTCCTCCCCATACTGTGCTGCCCAGTGCAGCAGTCTGGGAGCTGACCATGTCTGTAAAGACCAAGGCAAAAAAAAGCATTGAGTACTTCAGCTTTGTCTACATCGTCTGTAACTAGGTTGCCTCCCACATTCAGTAAGGGTCCCACACTTTCCCTGACCTTCTTGTTGCTAACATACCTGTAGAAATCCTTCTTGTGACCCTTCACATCCCTTGCTAGCTGCAACTCCAATTGTACTTTGGCGTTCCTTATTACACCCCTGCATGCGCGAGCAATATTTTTATACTCCTCCCTAGTCATCTGTCCAAGTTTACACTTCTTGTAAGCTTCCTTTTTGTTTAAGCTCACTGAAGATTTCTCTGTTAAGCCAAGCTGGTTGCCTGCCATATTTGTTATTTTTTCTCCACATTGGGATGGTTTATTCCTGTGCCCTCAATCAGGCTTCTTTAAAATACAGCCAGCTCTCTGGGACTCCTTTCCCCCTCATATTAGCCTCCCAGGGGATCCTGTCCATCAATTCCCTAATGGAGTCAAACTCTGCTTTTCTGAAGTCCAGGGTCCGTATTCTGCTGCTCTCCTTTCTTCCTTTTGTCAGGATCCTGATGTTGACCATCTCATGGTCACTGCTGCCCAGGTTGCCACCCACTTCTACTTCCCCTACCAATTCTTCCCTGTTTGTGAGTAGCAGGTCAAGAGGAGAACGGCACCTAGTTGGTTCCTCCAGCACTTGTACCAGGAAGTTGTCCCCAACACTCTCCAAAAACTTCCAGGAATCGCTGTGCACTGCTGTATGGTTCTCCCACCAGATGTCAGGGTGAGTGAAGTCCCCCATGAGAATCAGGGCCTGTGACCTGGAAACTTCTGTTAGTTGTCCAAAGGAAGCCTCGTCTACCTCATCCTCCTGGTCTGGTGGTCTATAGCAGATGCCCAGCATGACATCACCCTTGTTGCTCTCACCTCTAAACTTAACCTAAAGACTCTCAACAGGCTTTTCTCCAGTTTCATACTGGAATTCTGAGCAGTTATACTGCTCCCTTACATACAGTGCAACTCCTCCACCTTTTCTCCCCCGCCCGTCCTTCCTGAACCGTTTATATCCATCCATGACAGTGCTGCAGTCATGTGAGTTACCCCACGAAGTCTCTGTTATTCCAAGCATATCATAGTTCCTTGACTGTGCCAGGACTTCCAATTCTTCCTGCTTGTTTCCCAGGCTTCTTGCGTTCGTATTCAGGCACCTAAGATAACTAGCCGATTGCCCTACTTTCCCAGTATGAATCAGGAGGCCTCCCCTGTTGCATCCTCCTCCTTGTGTTTCTTTCCGGTATCCCACTTCCCCACTTACCTCTGGGCTTAAGTCACCATCACCTGGTGAACCTAGTTTAAAGTCCTCCTCACTAGATTAGCAAGCCTGTCTGTGAAGATGCTCTTCTCTCTCTTTATTAGGCGGATTTCATCTTTTCCTAGCAATCCTTCTTCCTGGAAGGACAGCCTATTGTCGAAGAATCCAAAGCCTGCATAACCACACATTTACCTCCACAGTTCGATGGTCCCTACCAGGGCCTTTTCCTTCAACAGGGAGGATGGAGGAGAACACAACTTGCACCTCAACTCCTTTATCCTTCTTCCGAGAGCCGCGTGAGTCTTAGCTAAGAGTCATATGGCTTTTGGCTCACGCAGTCGAGGCTCATGCATTTAGCCCGGAGGGCCCAGGTTTATCCCGCCCACCAACGACCAGCCACCCCTAGCGACGAGGTCTCAGTCTCCCTAAGGCTTCGAGGAGGGGACGTCTGGGTAGAGGATGCGGGGAGGCAAACGCGGGAGACCGAGCCCTGGCGACCCGGTACCGCCCGCTAACCAACCCCCACCAATGGCCCTGGCACAACCCCACCCCATCCCGCTACTCCCCCCGCCACCCAGCGGACCCGGCACCAGCCGTCCCGCTACTCCCCCCGCCACCCAGCGGACCCGGGACCGCCCGCCATAGCCTACTCGGCACTAGCCTCAGGACCGCACAGGCAGCCCCCGCCCGGCATACAGCTCCCTCCTGCCCCCTCTCACCGCGTCCCCATAACTCCCTCCTTCTCCTCTCACCTCAGCGCGGCCGGGGCCGGGCGGGGGCTGCGCTCAGCCCCTGGCGAGGATCGGGGAGCGAAAACCAGCTTGGGGCCCACCAACCCCTCCCCCGCTGCCAGTGTAACAGCGTCCCGACTCCGGCCAACCCGCGGCCACAGCCCCTCTGCTCGGCAAGAGCCGCAGACTTTGAGCTCCGCCCCCCGTCCCAGCCTCATCCAGCACCGAGGGGGCTGCCGGGCGAGACTACGAGCCCCAGGCTTCCAGGCGGCCTCAAGTGCGCGCGGGGAGTCGTAGTCTCCATCGCGAGCCTCGCCCGTTGCGTGCCGGGATCTGTAGGCCCAGGGTTGCCGTCGGGGTGCGTTCGGTCGCTATGTTATGACGCAGAGCAGCGGTCACCACCTTCTCCCTTCTCTCCGCTTGCCCGCGAGTCGCGATTCCCGCGCCCGGGGCGCGAGGAGCTGCCGAAGCGTTTGTTTAGCTCGCGGAGGCGGCCGGAAGCGCCGGCAAGGAGGGAACCCCGCCTCGGAGCGGGTAAGAGGGGCCCGGGATGGTCAGCGCTCCCCATGGTTCCCCCGTTCACCGCGATCCCCGCCCACGCCACCCCCCCAGTCCTCCCAAGCCCCTTCCTGACCCCCGTCCTCGGTCCCCTCCATCTCCGCCGCCCGTCCTCCAACCAAGGGTCTCCTGACCCCCACCCCTTCATCCTCCCGGTCTTTCCGCCCCTTCCTCACTCCTGCCCTCCTCCCTCAGCCCTTTGGTCCGTCAGTCCCCTTCCGCCTCCCCCCAGTCCTTCAGTTCCCCCGTCTTCTCCCCCTCGCCCTTCAGTCCTCCGCGCCCTCCACCCCGCCGGTCCTCTCAGGCCTCCTACTGCCCCTGCCCCCAGTCAGCTCCACCCCGCCTCCGGTGACCTCCATCCCCTGGGTATTTCAGCCCCTCTCCTGAGCCCCGACCCCTTTCACTCCACCCGAAACCCTAGTCCAGTCACCTCCACCCTCAGCATCCTTCATCCCACCAATAGTCAGCTCCATTGCCCTGGTTCTTCAGCCCTTCTCCTGCCCCGTCAGCTCCACCCTCATCCCGCCCTTTCCTCCACCCCACCCTCAGTCACTTCCATCCTGCTGGTCCTTTATTCCCCCCCCCCCCCAACCCAGTCACCTCCCTCTCCCTGGTCTTTCAGCCCTACCGCCCTTTCACCCCAACCCCTAGTCATCTCCATCCCCACCTCCCACCCAGACACTTTCATCCTCCTGGTTCCCCTTTATTCACCACCAAGTCCTTGTTAACTTGAAACAATGGGCCTGTTTCCTTTCTGAGTGACACCCATGGAATCCCCAGTTGTGTGACTGGGATAAATCACTGCAGGCTCAAGGATGAGTTTTCTCCAGCCATGCTATGGGAGCGAAGATTGCTGGGACAGACATAGAACAGGGAGCAATAGCACTTCCTTCCTATTTGTGGAGGGGGGCAGGAGAGTTATACTAAATTGGAAGGAGCATTTCGTAAACCTGTTCTTTTATAATGGTCTCAAGTAGGGCTTCCAAGAGGTGTATGTGTGGGAAGAAGTAGTTACTCTTTGGGTTTTTAACACCCTTTCCTTTCCTCTGTTGATGGTTCAAAATGCAGATTGCTAACATATTAATGGATAAGTATGGCTAAGGTGCATTAATTATTTAGAAAATCTAACTAATGGAAATTAGTTATTATTTAGAAACTTTAACTAATGCAGCAGTGTGGCCTCTTACTGTAGCTATACTGTCAAAGCCGATTCTGTTTACAGATCCTTGGTAGATTTTTCTCAATAGAATGTTTTATTCTTGGTACTTGCTGAAAAAATTTAATCAGGGGAGGTTTACTTTATTTTACACTTGTTTCAGAGGGAATACAACTGAGTAGCCTAGTGAGACTTAATCAGAAGGTCTGCATTTTGATTCTCCTTCTGCTGTTGACTTGCTACATGATTTGGGGAAAATTATTGCTTACCCTCTGATGCAGTGTCTACTCTATTACCATCCTTTTGTGGGGGGAAATTTTCCACTACCATTGGTGTAATTACAATGGTGTGTTTTGTAGGTAGGCAAAGTACCTACATTTTTATCGCCATATAATATAATCCTGCTCAGGATAGTACTAGATGATGCAGTGTAAAAATGCAAGTGTCTTATCTACACTAGGGCTCCCACTGTTGCTACCACTTCTCAGGAGATTCCTTAGAAAAGTGTAATGTGGGTCAAGGCTTTAAATTCTGTTAGGTCAGTGGGAAGCCATGAAAACAGCTTCGAGTATGGTTGAGAGCTCCTTTTGTTTAGATTATCACTAGGTTATCACTGGGATAATTATCCAGTTTTTATTCAGAATATCACCAGGTTGAATCATCTCTGGGTTTTGTGGTCTACCACCATCAATTTTTTAAGTTCTCAGAGCCATTTTTGGCTTTTTTACACACAGCTTTACAAATTGCACCGATGCAGCAGCTTGAACATTTAGCTATTAGTTGTTACAAGCATTTGAGCCTCTGAAGTGTGGGTTTTGTTTTAATAAAAGAAAATTATATAAAAACCTATGGAAGTATTCTCTGTCATCATATATAATATGTATATTAAGAATGCTCAAATTACTGTAATAGTTTCAGTCAAATGTTATACTTCATTGTAAATTTTAATGGTAGCTGCAGACATGACAGATGGCATGACTTTAAGCTCCTAATCAATGAGTTCATTCATGCATTCAGAGTGCCTTTTAATCATATTATGATGAGATGTTACATATTTACTGTTAGAATTTAAAACAGCTTTATTTTCTGTTGTGGCTCTGCTCGTGTGCAGATCTGGTGCAAAAGAGATTCGGACATCATTAAGTTTTGCAAGTCTTGTTCACTGCAAAGTTGTATTATGGCATTAACAGTGATACTGTAAGAATTTCTATTAGAAACCCTGACTTTCATGAATTACCTGGTCTGTTTCAAATTATACTTTGTTAAAATTACACTTTGAATGCAACTTTTAATCTTTTCTCAATTATATGGAGTCAAGTACACATTATTCTTTGTCTTGGTTTCAGAAGTAATTTTGACCAATTCTGACGAGAGGATTTTTCATAGAAAACCTGAGTGTTACTGAATAACTTGTGGTACTTTGGATGAAAAAAAACACTCTTTGAAAATACCCTGAATTTGATTACGTTCAGAAATGCTGCAAAACCATTTGTGGAGTAAAGTTAAGGGTATGTTACTGGCTGTAAATTAGGGGTGAATGTTTTTTATTTATTTATTTATTTATTTCCACTTTTATCCTAGGCATCCCAGTAATACAAATAATAATTTATCTCAGCCAGTAGATTGTTATTGATCTTTATTTATCTAAGGCTGAAGGCTGGCAGAGTTAACTTACTTGTATATTTAGTGTTGTAAATCTAATTATTGTCATGGTGTTTTTATATGGGCATTATTTTTTTTTAAAGTTGAATCTAAAAAAAAATGTTTATTTGAAGTAGCTTCTCTCGTTGCAATATTCTATAAAGCGGTATTTTAAATATACCCATCTCATAGGCATGTTGTGAATATTGGTCAATGTTCATAACCCATTTTGAAATCCTCAGATGAAAGGTGCTATATAAAGAACAATTTGCATTTTATTTATGGATTCACATCTACAGATCCTGTTCTAGAAACAAAATTCTTAAACTTTTGTTTCTACATAAAGCCTTCAGCTTTCTGTACTTTGGGTTAAATTGAACCATTCAAGTGTCAGTAGCTCTTTATTAAGGATCATTACCACTGACTCTACACAGAATGAACCAGATAATACAATTCAAGGCTACTTGATTTTTTTTCTTTTCCTACAGTCCCGTTGCTACCAGTAGCTGACGTCACTCGGTTACAAATGAAATATTGTTAATACTATTCAGGCCTCTGAATAACATTACAAAACAAACAGAAACTTGTTTGTTGGAAAATATACTCTGTTTTAGGGGAGTTTTGGGGAGTAAGCAGTAAAGCTAGTGACTGGTTGTGTTACTGTTTTTTCTGAAACACATCATTAAACATAATTTATAATTAGCTCGTCTCCTTCCCCTCTTCCCCCATTCTTTTTATACACACTTCAACACTGTCTTGTCTCTTGGATTTCTTTGTTCTTTGAATAGAGATATAGTGACATGTGAGTAGTTCACTTATATTGGTCACAGATCGATGTAATTTGTTCTTGTAATTTATGGCAGGGATGCTAGAGCATTGAATAAATGCCTGTTCATATAAATATATTTCATATTTACTTCAATTTATTATTAATCTAGTTCCCATTGCTTGACATATTGATTCCACTGCATGTGGTGATGCTGTCATAATATTTTTATATCTGTGTAGCCTAGTTTATCTAATCTCTATTAGGTATTTCTAAGGCCTTGGCTTTATATGACTAAAGTTCTTATGCAGCACAGCTTTTTGTGACAGTGATTTGCTTCCATAAGAGAGGATCTTTGGGGGAGGAATAGCCTTTCTGCTGTGTCCTGTCTCTGTAGGAAGCATAGGGATATGTGATTCACTGACAGGTATTGTTCTAAGAAATTACAAAACCGCATTTCCACAGAGATGATTACGGAACTGACAGCAAAACCTTTACAGAACTGACAGAAAACCTTTCTATAACTTAAAATGGTGGCTATGCTCATTTTGGGGCTGGTGACTCAATAATAGACCAAGAGCAAAGTTAATATTTATTGGAGCATTTTAATAGTGCAAAATTTGTTTTAAAATAGTGCAGAATTTGTTTATTTTTGAGTGTTGAACTAAAATTCTCAAACAATTTAAAACGTATCACATTGTGGAATTTCTGAAGACCTCTACAAATATAGCAATGTATATAGAGATGTATTAAACAAATATATAAAACAATAATGGCATCAGATGAAAATAACTTAGCTACTGCTTCTGATTTGAAGAAAGAAATGTTACTTGCTTTGTTTACAATCTTGATGTAGTGCACTGTTTCAGGTATATTAAGAAACCAATCTCTTGACTGATAAGTATTTCCAGATTGTCTGTTTTACTAGCCATGTGTCAGTGATCCTAAATGCTCAACAAAACTGAATACAACATGCTCATTTTAAATGTTGCACAGTGAATCAAACTTATACAGTAAGACTCTTAATATTGTAAGAATATTTTATCCTAAAGATCTTTATGTAAAGACAGTGATATAACATATTG